TCACCCTTCCGGCCTCAGTTCACTGTCYCTGCCTCAGGGAAACCTTCCCTGACTTATGTCCAGAATCATGTTGGTCACAAGGGACAAGCCAAACTGCTTCAGGTAACCAAAAAAAGTTCAGTGTCAGCTTCAGGCATGATGCAGGCCTCAAGACTTATTGTGAAGGACTTGTTTATTTCTCTGCCCAAGGCCCAGTATCCTTGATGTTGGCTCCAGAGAAAAGTTCATCCTCCATGGTGCTAAAATACCTGARGAAGCTCCAGTTTCTTTTTTCACATTCAAACCTACTAGGAAGAATGGAGGTACTTCTCCAAGACAGTTCTAAAAATATACCCAGATTTGTTCTTCCTGGTTTGAGTTACTTGATTCTGGGCAACCTATTTTAGAACCCATCATTCTTGTTATTGGAAAGCAAAATATTGATTGGCCAATACTGAGTCATGTGCCACCTGGAAATTTATAAGTTCATGTGTGGTTAGGTCCTGAACTCCAAGCCAAGAGTTACAGGAAACTGGGGAAAGGGACCTTGAAGAAGCAAATGACAAATGTCTGCTAGGAATGATTTATTATATGTTTACACAGCATCTAATCTTTTCCTTTTTAGCATTTGTGGTCATTACACATTTTTTTTGTATATTATTATTTGTTTAAAATTTGTCTTCCTCATAACACTGACACCCACTTTGAGAGACACTATATCTCCTTTCTTTACTGTTCTATGGCAATGCCCAGAATGGATCTCAGCACAGAGTGGACACAATAAATATCTGTTTGATAACTATGTTACTAAAAAAATAAATAAAACACTTGGATGCAAAACATTTCATATGGTAGCGGTCTCAGTCTATTTGTACTGCTATAACAAACTACCTGAGATCAGGTACTTTATAAAGAATGGAAGTTTATTTCTTATAGTTCTGGAAGCTGGAAGTCCACCATTGATCATGGCACCAGGAATTTTGGTGGCTGGGAAAAGCCCATCCTTTGTTCCAAGGTGGGGCTTTGACTGTCTCTGGAGGGAACAGACATTATGTCCTCAAATAGCAGACAGGACTAAACTGGTTCCCTCTAGCCCTTTTATTTTTTATTTATTTATTTTTWAAATATTTTTTTTTAGTTGTAGATGGACATACAATATGTTTATTTATTTTCATGTGGTGCTAAGGATTGAACCCAGTGCTTCACACACGCTAGGCATGCGCTTTACCACTGAGCTACAACCCCAGCCCCCTCTAGCCTTTTTACAAGGCACTAATTCATCCAGAGAACAGAACCCTCATGTATGAATTACAGCCTCAAAGACCCCACCTCTGAAAACTCCCAAAGGGGGGTTAAGTTTCAATATAAATTTTGGGGGAGGGGACACATTTAAATCCATTCAAATTCCAATTTTTCTTTTAAAAATGAAATCTTTCTCTCTTTTATTCTCTCTCTAGAGAACATGAATCCAAAAGGAAATATACCAAATACAATAGTGGTTGTATTTAGACGGTGAAGTTAAGAGTGAGGTTTAAACTGATGTTTTTCTGTATTTTCCAGATCCACAATGGGCCTATATTATTTTTTAGTTGAAAAGTTCTTTGAAATAATCTCTAGAAATATATTGGGTAGGGTCCTTCCATCTGGAGTAAAAATGCCCCGTTTTGAAAGGTAAAGGAGTTTCTAAAGAACAGAAGGCCTCCTGCTACAGGTTTCACTGGGACCAGTGAATTCCTGGTCACATCAGAAGGCATTCCTGGAGAAGTCAGGACTTGAGACATTAACAGGAGGGTCCTGAAGAAGAGCAGAGCAGGTGTCAATCAAGTATGTGTGTTGCCATGAAGCTGACTTTCAAAATGGTCTTTCTTTGTCTTTTATTGTTTTAAACTAATAGCTTGATCTCCCTCTGTTTCTAAAGAGTTAGAATTTTGGTTAGAACACTATTAGCCTTTTCCTTTATTACCATGTCTGTAATTTGCTGTTCTCCTCTACTGTGGACTCAGGGGTGGTCTTTGCTACCTTGTCTCTATACCTTCTGTTAATGTGTTTATGGAATGATCTGAGCAGGGAAACTCCTAAATGAAGCTGACCAAATGCCAGGGCACTGCACTGTGAGTACATCATACCCACCTAATCACAGGACCCTGCTCAGAAACAGCAGCAGTTGCGACACACCATGATGTGTACTGGCTTCTGGTAGTCCAGTAGGTTCTGAATCTCAAAGCTCCTTAGGGATCTGACAGGGCACTCCTCTCTGCACTGGAACATCCTGAGCTACCGGGCCTCCTTTGGGCCATCCCTGAGGTTGGTCTGCATGTTAGTGGACCTGATATGGAGGCAAGAGCTCCAAAAGGAGAGAAGATGGGATAGGGAGGGCAAACTAAAATATGCAAGTAATTCTGCTGAGAATGCAGGCATCCAAATGCACACTACTTAACTCCCCCTGCTGTGTCCTGAGTGGGTCTAAGGGGGCGGGCTCCTGGGGGAACCAGCTTGGGTAGAAGTTCTTTGATTTCAGGCCTATCTCTGCCTCTTATCAGCTGTCTGAGCTAGCTCTGGCCTCTCCACCTCTGAGCCTCAGGCTGTCATCTGTACAAGGAGTACAGTACCTCTTTTCTTAGGGCTTTTCTTGATGGCAGATAAGATAATTTAAGTTATGTGAAGTGTCCAGCCCACTGTAGGTCTCTCTCTTAGAATGGCTTTGGGTGTGGTGTGAGAATGTGGAGGGAAGAATGCTAAACCAGGGGAGTGTCTTCTACCCGTTTTAGCAAGGTCAAGAGGGAAGACAAAGGATGCTAATAGCTCCTTCTCTAATCTCACCCTCTCCAACATGGGCCAAATGGTAAAGAAATTTCTCCTGCTTTAAGTTTGGTACCAGGGATTGTTGAACCCAGGACTCTTAATCAATGAGCCACATGCCCAGCCCTTTTTTTTTTTTCATTTTGACACAGGGTCTCACTAAGTTGCTGAGACTGACTTTGAACTTGCCATCCTCCTGCTTCAGCTTCCCAAGTCGCTGGGATGCTGGGATTACAGTGTGTGCTACCATGCCTGGTGGGTTTAAGTTTAGGCTGAACAGTCATGGCAAGAACACTGAGCTCTCTTGAGCTTTAAAACTCCTCTTTTATAATCCCATCTCTTTCCCATGAGCAGTAGAACCCTCCAAAAAGAAGGCTCTGATGTTTTTCATAGGCTCTTCAAGGTGAGTGGCAGAGCTGGGCCCTGTGCTGAAGGTCGGGGAAAGCAGAGAGGCACAGAAGTTAGACTAGCTAGGTAAAGGCCTGGGGAGCATGAGGAATTGGAAAGTACCTCTGAGAAGAAGTTTCCTCCTCTCTTACCAGGTAAAACCATCCCATAGCCTGGGATTTAACTGCTGTTAAACAATCCTCTTCCAATGCCCTTACAGGTGCTACCACCCCAGGCTGGAAAGGGTTGTCAGGGTGTACAGAAAGTGCCAATCAGGCATCTGGAGTAGGCTCTCTGGGGGGCCTGTTTCTCTCCTGGGTGTGTTTAACACAGTTGTTTCATCTTCTGTAGAGGAAATCCATTGCTCAAGGCTGCTGCCCACTAATCACATCTTCTGCCATTAACTCTGGCCACAAAGATTTCTTTGAGTACCCCCTACCCCCCCCCCCACACACCCCCAGAAGGACAGCCCCGTGGTTTTTGTTGTTGTTGTTTGTTTTTGTCGTTTTCTTCTTCCTCAGAGAACTGCCTTCTGTGTCCTGGTCTTGTATCATCTCCTCAAGTGGGCAGCCTTTGCCTTCCCCAACTGCCCAGCTAAATTACTGTGACTTCCTTGTACCTAGCCCAGCAACAGTATCTTAACACTCATTTTACTTTGTCATACTTTATTCACGTATTTATTATGTGTTGTCCCACAAGAGACCAAGCTCCAGGAGGAGTACTATCTGCTGTGCGCTCCCAGCTGAATCCCCGGGGTGCTCCTCCTAGGCCTGCCACCTGCACCTAGTACATGCGCATGAATACAGGGCTCCTCACTAATGTGTAAGCAGAAGGACCTCTCTCTTGCCTCCAGGCCACCTGAGCCGGGTCCACAGCTGTGGAAAGTACTGAATAGATAACTGAGAAGGGCTTCCACAGGTTTGGAGGTCCAGAAATCACACATGGTTCTTAACCTTTTTAGGGTCGCATATTTCTTTAGGAATTTGAGTAAAACACACACACACACACACACACACACACACACACACACACACCCCTCTTTTTCCCCCAAAGAACATAAATAAGCTCTGCTTACAACCCGTGGACGAGGAGATTCCTGAGGTCCCAGATAAAAATCCTAGAGTTAAGAAAAATAAAGAAGTGGAAAGAAATTAGAAAACCAAACTTCAACACCGCAACAGAGAACTTTTTAAAGGGGACCTGCTTGAAATGGTCTTGTTCCAAGGAACAAGTTCTTGGATTGCAAGTTTATGCTAAAAAATAACATGGGAATGGGGGTGGGGCGGGGGTTAACAATCGCTTCTTCTCCTGGATCTGCCAACCGTTCCCTTCCTACATGTTGTAGAACAAGACGATCTCGCACACCTTCCGCAGGTGTATCGGAAAACAGTTTTGCCGGGTCGGATAAACACCTGCCCAGTGTACCGAGGGCACTTTTGCCCGGCAGTCAAGAAAGCAGATCCCCCAGCCTGGAGCTCCTGGCACAGGGAGCTACAGGTGGGATTATGCGCGCTCGCGGCCCTGGCGTCYCGGGGCTGAGGACTCTCGGCGGTAACTGGGGCGCGCGCAGGTGCATTTGCACCTGCTGCGGTCGGCGCGGCGCGGGGCGGGGAAAGTTGTGACGGGGGCGGGGCAAGAGAAAGGGAAAGTGGAGAGGAGGGGGAGGCAGAAACCAAGGAGAGAAAAAGGAGGAGCGCGAAGAGAAGGAAGGGGAAGAGGAAGAGGAGAGAGGGATGGGGGAGGAGACGACGAGGAAGAAGAATGGGAGGAGCGGGAGGGGAGGAGGGCTGCCGCGCGGGGAGGAGTCTGCAAACTTTCTGTTCAAGGGCATTGTGGGAAGCAGCCATGGTCTGAGGAGGGCGCCTCACCTGTCAGCCGCGCGGGCTCCTGCGCTCGGCTCCGGCCCTCGGGTCCTTCGCGCTCGGTGCTTTCGGGACAGGGGCGGTGGCGGCCGGGTCACCATGGTGAGTGCCAGTGCGCCGCGCTGCGGCGCTGACCCTGGGGCGTGCGCGCTCCCGGGAGGCACCTGCGGCTCCAGGGCCCGGCGAGCGTCTTTCGAAAGGGGGTGGGGGCCCAGCAGAGTCAGGGTCTCCTAGCWGCAGGAGCCTCGGCACTACTGTCCCGGGCAATGAGGACGCGCCTGGGACCCCTGCCCATGATCCCCGCTGCAGCCGCGCTCCGCAGCTTCATTCATTGGATTCACTTTTGCGAGCGCTTAGTGTAAGCCGGCACCGTGCCAAGCGCTGGGGATGTCGCGGGGGACCAGGTGGATCTCCGGCTTTCAGGGAGCTTATTTTCTAGGAGGGGGATACGAAGGGAAGGAGCCGTGTAATAAACAAGCAAAATAAAGATAACTTCCGAGACTAAGGAGTGCCCAGAAGTCGCGAGCACTACCGGGTGGAGACGCAACTTTTGATTCGGCAAAGTCGTCTTGGAGGAGGTGGTGACATTTGGGCCTCTGAGGTCCTGGAGGGGCGCTGCAGGTAGAATGATTCGCGACCTCAATCCTCGCTTGTTGCAGAAGTGGGCAGGGCCAGAAGAGGCGGGTCTTTATAAACCAAAGTTAAGTTTTGGCTTTTGTTCCAACTGAGTAGGGAAACTTTGGGAGCATGTTAGCAAGAAAAGTGATCTTATTCACTTTATGCTTGTATCTTTGGGGCCATTGGTGAAGAATGGACGTGTGTGTGTGTGTGTGTGTGTGTGTGTGTGTGTGTTGGGGAGAGGCAACGTGGAAGCCAGGAAAGTGGTACAGTGCTATGAGGGTTACGGTGTCCTGCACTTTATGGAGAAGTAACTAGAGCTTCTCTTGCTCCTGCCTTCTGTTAGGGACAGCATGTTGAGAGTGCAGGGGTCTGAACTGAGAAGTCCCACTTCCCCAAGTGAACTCACTTCCCAAATCTGTGGAAGAGAATTCACCTACAGGCCCGCTGTGGTCTCAACTGGCCCATTATAGGTAGGAGTAGATGGCCATGGTGTTAAGCAAGTTGATTGATAGGGAGAGCCATGGAGTGCTGAGCATCCACGGAAAGATCAGATGCTTGTTCCTAGGGGAGGCTTGGTAGCACACACTGAAGGCACCGGTTTTGCATGTTGGGGGTTCCTTGTAAGTACAACATGATATAAAAAGGAGACTGTAAATAATGAAACAGCTGTCTTGGCTTGCTCAAGTTTCCAAGGAACAAGGTAACTGTGAGCCCAGCTCATTTGCCTAATGGAGGGTGGAATCAGGCCCTGAGTTTCTGAGTCCTTAAATATGGTTTCCATCCTGTAGGTTGGAACAGGTCTGTGAGGAAATGACCCCAAATTCTAGACAACACTTGGTGTGAGTTTTACTTTTTCTATCTGGTGTCATATGATGAGTTGATCAAAAATATGGGAAGTTTCTCCATCTTTTCTACCAGGCCTTCCCAATGGAAAACACTGTTATTGAGCACCAAGCGGAATGTCCAGCCCCTTACATATAGGGTCTCATTGCATCCTGGTAGTGACCAAATGAGGCTCTGCAGTTACCTGCTCTGAGCTGTTCTTGTAGTGTGACCTTACACAATTCTTTGATCTCTCTCTCTCTCTCTCTGTGTTTGTTCCTTTGTGCAATGGGGATAACAGTTGCTTCTAACTGATAAGGTAGGGGTACTAAAATGTGGCCTGGGAACCCCTAGAAGTGCCCAAGACTTTTTTTGGAGGTCTGCAAACTCAAAGCCATTTTATAATAATATTAAGATGTTAATTTGACTTTTAATTTTCATTCTTCCAAGACTGCAAATGAAGTTTCAAGCCTATGTGATCTGAAATAGTACAAAAAATTAAAAACAGAGGCAGATAGGAGAGTCCTACTGTCTTTCTTAGGGCAGGCATTAGGGAGCCTTACAGAAATGAAACAAAAATGTCATTCTTTTCACAAGTTTCTTTTTTTTCTTTTTATTTTTTTACTTTGGAATTTTTAAATAAATTTTTTAAAAAATATTTTTTAGGGCTGGGGATGTGGCTCAAGCGGTAGCACCCTCGCCTGGCATGCGTGTGGCCCGGGTTCGATCCTCAGCACCACATACCAACAAAGATGTTGTGTCCGCCGAGAACGAAAAAATAAATAAATAAATAAACCTCTCTCTGTCTTTCTCTTTCTCTCTCTAAAAAAAAAAAAATTTTTTTTTAGTTGTCAGTGGACCTTTATTTTACTTATTTTTAGTGCTGAGAATTGAACCCAGTGCCTCACACGTGCTCAGCAAGTGCTCTGCCACTGCGCCACAACCCCAGCTCCTGGAAAATATTTTTATTGGCTATAAAAATGTTATTTATTTAACATATAATATGTTTATTTTTATTTTTTAAAATATTTTTTAGGTGTACTTGGACACAATACCTTTATTTTATTTATTTTTATGTGGTGCTGAGGATCGAACCCAGGGCCTCACACATGCTAGATGAGCGATCTGACACTGAGCCACAACCCCAGCCCCTATTATTATTTTTAAATGAATTAATAAATACCTAATTTTTTCTATCTTAATTTCTAATATAGTAAATAGCAATGGATATAACCTACACACACAGAACCATCTTTGAGGTTCTCAGTTTTTAAGAGTATCCAAGACATTTCATAATTATTGTCATGGATCTGGTACAGGAACTATGAGTAGATGCTGGTGAAAGGACGTGGAGCAGCTTTGCCCATTCTAAGTGCTTGGAGCCACTAACTCTCATGTCATTACTGTCATGGGTGGGAAAGAATCCTTCCCTAGTGCTCAGCCCTCTTTATTGACGGCCAGTTTGTGACCCCCTCTGTCTCCCTGCTTGGCTCCTATTTCCTGGCTGTTTTGCTAGGAAGCTGGAAGATGGTTACAGCAGGCCACCTTGTACTTGTACACGAAGCAGTTCTTGATTCCATGTACCAGCAACCCTGGTTTCATATCTCCTGTAGTTGGGACACAGTACTGTTTGCATCTGGATCATAGAGTTTAAATCATCTGTGGACTTTATCTTGCTTTTGTTTTAGAAATCTCTACCTTGGAAAAGGATGTTAGGCCTCTTGGGCTTCAGGAATCCCTGGGGCTCTCAGCCCAGTGTGCTTAAATCTTACTGATAAGAATTTTACTATTGAATGGTCAACAATGTTGATGGATGGAGGAGGATTTTCCTTTAAGAAGATAGCTATGGAGAATGATAGAGTGGTGATTGAAAGGCTTTGGAGACACCTTTAGTAAAAATGCAAGTGGACTTTGATTTATGCTGTGCACATACTTCTGAAAAGTTGAGGTGATTTTTTTCAGCTTCCTGATGAGCATAGCAGGGGATTCACCCACTGAAAGAAACCCCAAAGGTGACCCCTTTGGAAATACACAAAATCATCTTTTTTTGTGTGTTGCAAATCCAGTTCTCAGAATGTGTGAGAAAGACTTGTAATAAAATATTTGAGTATTTTTAGATTTTAAATTTGACTTGAAAGAAAGAGAACTTTCCAACTGAACTGGGCAGCCATCTCTTTACCAGAATTTATATTTCTAGTACAGTAAATTACAATGGATATAACACACACTTCTTCCAAATCAGATTTAAAAAACCTTTGCCCTGCTAGTTGTAATCTCATTGTGTATACACAACTAGGAAAGGTTCAAGGGAGTTGCAGAGGGTGAGGGAGGAGACCCTGCCACCCCCCACCCAGTAAATCAACTTCTTTGATGCTTAAATGAATTGTATTAAGTATGTAGTTATTTTGGCAGTTTAAATTCCAGTTTGAGGGTGAAGGAATCCATTAGAGTCATGCATGATGTCCTCCTGGGAGACTTGGACTGGGCTGCTGGCCAACAGTTAGGGTGGGGTAGAGGGCTTGGGAGTCGRGGAGAGAAATGACCTTTGTGGGTTTGGTTGTGCTGGGGGTTTCCCACACCAGGCCCTACCCACAGGTCTCCCAGCCCCATCAGACTTGAATGGACTCCTGGTCAGGACTGTTACTTCTGAGTTCCCATGGTGCCCATTCTTTGGTGTGGGGGGTGGGGGGGAATATTGTCCACTGCTTCCATTCCTGTGCCGTGGCCTCCCCACAACAGCTGGCAGGAGACAGTTAGTGCTAGTGCACTGAATACTGCACTGAATCATCAATGCCTGTTTTGGGGGGGTCCCATGAAGTTTTTCATTATGGTTTAAAACATAATTGGTAATCCCTCTGCCCCCACACAAAACTCCTTTAAGAATCCCCCAAGGTAAGCACTTCTTGACATGAATCATTTCTTCAATTTTATTTTCCTATTACTTCAACCATAATTCCTTCCAGAGACCAGAGATTTCACTATATCTTCCCCGGGGCCAGTTCTTACGTCTCTCATAGAATCTTTCTTTCTGGAATATCTTGTTCTGTGATACCTTTTCCAGGTGGAGTTCTCAGTTTTTCCTTAAGTATACCAGCCACTGACCCAGAAAAATCTTCCTTTGATGCCCCTGATCCCGTGATGTCAAAGAATGTACACAGATAATGTCTCTAAAATTCTCTCTAGCCAGCACCCCAACTCTCTAGAGAAATGTATGTCTTGGGGGGCTGCTAGAATTCAGTGTCAAYAGTCACCGAGTACCACTGATTATTCAAGTTAGAAATTGAATGTCCTTGACCACTATGAGGAAGCTGGCCTTTGAAAAATCTCCGTCAAAGTTTGTGAACTTGCTGACAGGTGGAGCTTGGGTCTGACCCCTGCTCTCTCCAAATAGTTTCTGAAAATAGCCTGGGGGAAAATAAAATGATCACTCATTATTCTTCCAGTGTGATGAGGCATGGACCTGAAGTACATTCAGTCAAGAATAAGGACATTAGTGTTCTATAGTTCACTGACCTTGTTGCATCTTCTCCACCTGGATTTCTGCACTGGTAAGATGATTGTACACATGGAAGTTCAGTAGCCACTTACATGCTGAAAGAGTCTTCCTCCTACCCTGGGTATATCAAAGAGGAGGAACTAAGATCATGATGTGAAAACTG